ACATTGTAGACGAAATACGCGTATCTATCAAGGATAAGCAAATAAGGCAGTGGAATTAAATGGAAATTACTAATCCTTCTCTCTCTCATTTTAAGTTTTATTCGTTTGAGGTCGCAATTAGCCTCATGCCTCATATAAACCGTAGCATGTTCCGGTCATACTTCCGGAACCGGTTGACCGATTCCAATATGTGCTCTATGTGACCATAATACCTTTCATTTAGCGACTGTTGATTGGTTTATGACACTCGGTCCTGCGGGCTATTAAGCATACAAATGGTACTTTATATAATAGGCCCAACCATGATGCATTTTTAGGTCCAACCATGATTCAAATTCATTGCTGAATAAAAGCGTTCAATTATATCCCATTTTGAAAAAAAAACAACTGTTTTTCTTCAGTTTTATTAGAAACTAGCAAGGTAGACTTTTTCACCAAACACACATTTTCCATGTTCAAATGATATATTCAAGGAAAAAACACGGCATACATTTAGACGCAGTGTGAAAATGGCATAAATAGGTCCAACCAAAATACATTACCCTACGTGAAGTCAACGGTTTTCAGAGTTCGTTGGAAATGCTGTTCTAATATCAACATGAAGCTTTTTTTTGTTAATTACTTTATTTGTACAGGCCTAATCGAATAAACTTTATGACAATTTTATGGATGTGAAGAGGGAGAAGGAAATTTAAAGTATGAGTTATGATACAAAAACTTCACTTTTTCTAAATCATGTACGTTAAATCATGTTTGTAATCATACAATTATTACAGAAACAAATAAAAAAAAAAAACAAACAAAAAACACACACACAATTACGTCAATCCATCCAGCGGGACAAACTTAACGAATTTCAAAGTTGATACGTGTTTTGGAATGTACCAATAGCGTACCATAGCGTACCTTCAAGGATTTTGAACGGACCTCAAAGATTCCCGAAAACACGTGACCCGCTGGATAGACATACGATTTCAGCAATGACCAAGTCGATCGACCAGATTTCTACGGAAATGTGACGTACCAAATGCGTAGTTTACGAATCTGTAATTCATTTTAAACGGCTGCGGCTGTGGAATTGAAAAATCAAAGTTGGCTCCCGTGGAGAATAGAAGAACTATGAAAGTGATGATGATTTCAAAATTTTTCACGGGGGATATACGAGTGCAACCTCAAAATTCTTTTATGTTGATTTCTATATGGGGGTACATTTTGTGAAAACCGAAAATGGAACATGTAACGAAATTATGAAAGATTTTTAATTCTAATAACTTAGCTTCCCCTGCACCAATTTTATTAACTTTATCACCAATCGATCAGAAATATTTCGACGCACCGATTTTGACTGTTATTTTCAAAAAGAAACCATTGAAAAAGTGGTTAATGTCAAGCAATGTCCAAAAACGTCGAAATAACTAACAAATCCACCAATTACGCGCCAAGAATATGGGATTCTCCAGTCCGAATTTGCTGATCCAGCTGGCTACACGTTATCATCATCTTTCAAAGGTTTTAATGGGCCACCAAGATTTTCCAAAAGAGTTAAATTTCTGAACGTGTCCCAACTAAAATTTATATCAAAAGGTTCTTTTCAGGGCAATCATAGTCATACTAAAGAGTATAAACAGAGAGAACCCCGCTCAAATTCCTATTCCTACACAAAACACAAGATCCTGCTGCAGTTAACAAATAAAATTTATTATATAAGACCACGTAGTCCTATGTCACCATTGCGTACAACCCTTGAAGTTTTTTTTTTTAATTTGGTTGCTGCTGCACTGCCCATAATCGCAAGTTTTCTGATTTGACACTTATTTTGGAGGGATAAATTTAAAAATATTTGTACAATGTGATAGAATGCATCTATGTTTACCAAAAAATATTGGAAAATATAGTGAAATTTTTATTTTATGGTTAAAATCTGAGTGGGACTGACTTGCGATTACATTTAACGTCAATGAGAAAAATAACCGCAATTCAGTCACAATTCCATGACGATGCTGCATTAGTTTAGCACAGTATTGAACAGTAGAAAGATACCATGATCCCATAGAACGTTATTGAATGTTTCTGAATTTGTTCCGCTGGTTCCAGAGCAATGGCCGGAACATATTCCGGTGAGTATGAATCTTCATCAGACCAGAGTTTTTCATAAACGTGCCAGACCCACCATGCGATAAATCAATTAACATGAGAATTAAAAATTAAAATCAATAAGAGTCATTATGAGTGACCAGCACCATGTTGGCCACACCCGGCCGTGTTCTGGGTATCTCCGGGGAAGTGGTAAATCATTTTTAAATCAAAATCCATCAAGTGATACATCAAATCACATGAGAATTCAAAGCCATATCCATTGGTGGTCAAACTGAGTATCGTAAGAACTATATTGGCCACATCCGGACATGTTCCAGATACCCTAGGGGAAGTGGACAAAATATGTCTTGAGACAAATCTCATGATGCGATGTGCTGTCTAAAATACCCCGTTCACATTACAGTGTATATCACGTGATATACGCTGTCTTGCAATTAGCACTCATACATCTAGTTTTCACTGGAAATGCTATGCATGAGTGCTCATTGCAAGACAGCCTATATTACGTGATATAGGCTGTAATGTGAACGGGGTATAACATTTCTAACATATTTTTTTTAATGGGACTGACTTGCGGTTACTTTTCACTGTGGGACTGTTCGCAAAATAAATGCATTTTAAGATTGCACTCACCGTGAAAAAAATTAAAACCATCATCACTTTCATAATAGTCGGCGCCGGTGGTGTAGTGGTAAGCGTGACTGCTTTCTCACCCCAAAAGGTCTGGGTTCAATCCCAGCCGAGGTCGGTGGGATTTTTCTGAGGCATGAAAATCTCTGGTCATGTCTTCCTTGGGAAGGGAAGTAAACCCGTTGGCCCCGGCCCATGTGTGTTTGAATGAGTGCACGGTGTAGAAGCTGCCTTCCTGCTCATTCGATTGCCATCAATGGATGACAATCGATGTCCGTCGGTGAGACGGACGTTAAATAAAGGAAAGAAGATCACTTCCATAATTCTTCTACTCTCCACGAGAGCCAACTTTGATTTGCCAATAGTTGTAGTAACGTTTATCACTACCTAATACCAACAATCAACACGAAACTAACGATTTTAAATTGGCTCACTACTTGACTAGCCTATTGGTCCCAAGCAAACGATTAACGTACCCCATTCTAGTCGAAATTCTAGTACTACGCGATGTTTGTTTTGATTCGCTATGAAAGTTTGACAGATAAAATGAGGGGTTAGTGGATTTGCCTATGTTTCGAGGGGTGAATCGATTAGCTTGGGACCGAAAAGAGTACCAGAGCTGAGCCAAAAAGTTGAGCACGTATCTTCGGGACCTTCTGGTCTTTACCCTGTACAGACTATGGCTTATATCATGTAATATAGACTTTCTTGCAATGAGCCCTCATACATCTAGTTTTCACTGAAAATCCTATGTATGAGTGCTCATTGCAAGACAGCCTATATTACATGATATAAGCCATAGTCTGTGGGGAGTATAAAGCTCCACGTTGCCGAAAGCATTTTGAACACAATACTCGTGATTCGTGTTTCTCAGCAAAAACTGGACCAGATTGAACGCAAGACATCATGGTCCCATATAAAGCTAATGAATATTTTTTAAATCAGCAACTTTACCCGGATATATAGCAGGAACATGTTCCGAAAAACATGGATTTTAGAAACTAAATCGTGTATCAGCAACCACAGAACCGAAGTGGACGCAACAGCTGCCAAATAAAAGGTATGTTGGACCCATAGAATGCAATAGAATATTTTAGGAATCGGTCAACTGGTTCCCGAGATATGACCAGAACATGTTCCGGATTGTATAGGCCAAGAGACTAAATTTAGCGGTGAACTACACTGAAAAAATCTGAATTTGAATGGTGATGTAAATTTTCATGCATGCAGAAATTCTTGAATGTAAACTTGCTGTTCACGCAATCTAGCAAGAAATGTTGCGTACATCTTTGATTGCATAAAATATTTGGAATAATTCATCACACGATCCATAATATAAACTTATTTGACGTCGCTCCGTTTATGTGCATCATAGTGACAGAAATTTACATCACATTTACATTGGGTTTTATTGTAATGCATACTGTTTTAAAGATTTTTTTTTCAATTAATGCAGAATGTAAAAATACATAAAAAAAATGCAGCTTCGCATGTTTATAATAAAAGTGTTCAATAACAAAATTTTACATGTTCAGGATGCATGTACTTTGATGGACTGTCCTAATATTTTTCAGTACGTTTTTAATTAAAATAAGTGATATTCTTGTTGTTTGATACCCACTTTATCACATTCTATAATGCTTGGGCCTCTATATGACGGCTATGACGTAGCAGTGCACGTGTTGTGTCCAATGGTAGTCAAGTGGAGTGCTTAGGTTCACATTGGAGAAGTCCTGGGTTCCGCTAGAAAAGTGGCCGGTTTCTGTTAGTAAGAAGGGTCAGATCTCACCATAGGTGGATTAACTCAGGCTTTTTCAACTTAGGTTGAACTTTTGCCCCACCATACTCTATGTTTATGTGATCGCATTTCTGTTTTTATAAGCTGGCCTCAAATGGAGCCATTCGTAATATTTCAATCAAATATGAAGAGTGAAACTTTCAAATCGACATTTCTTTTAGAAAGGTTGATTGCATTTAGCTCAGTACTATCGAATCACGAGCGTTTATTTCATAATGGTAGACTGAAATGTGGGAAAAAATCTAAAAAACTAAGTCGAGATCATAAACATTCGTACAACATAAAATCATATTTAATGCTTCTCACTCCTATTAAACCATTTGCCACCTGACCGCCTGCGCTCTCTGAACCATTCGCTTATTATTAGCCATAACGACAAATAAATTACCACAAATAGGTGTCTATTTCGGTCCGCGTGCCTGTTTTAAAGTGTCCATTTCAGAACTCATGCATGAGAAATAATAGTCAAACTCACTTAGCACGATGAGATAGAGCGCCAAACTCTTGACGGGCATCGTAGAAATCTGGCATTCATAGATGCCGGTATCTTTCCGTTCGGTCCATTTGATGTGGAGAATCCACTCGTTCGTCTCCGCATTATACAGGGACTGAAACCGTTCGTCCGCAGTGTACGTGATCCGATCGATGGTGAGAATTCGCAGGTCCCGTTGCGAAATCCAGGACACTGTATACTTCCCGAGGTTTTCGACCATACAACTCAGAAAGGCTGGGTCTCCCCGTCGGACGGTGGCATTCTTGGACATTGACGCAACAATGTAGGGTTCGGGTGGGTTAAGAGTTGGTTGTGAAAATTCTTCTGTCCGTTGGTGGTTTGAATAGTACATGCCATCGGTAAGATCTGCAAGATAGAAAATAAAGCAAGACAATATTAGTATGACGCATTTCAGTTAAATGGTCGGGTTGGCTGGGTGTTCATTCCAATCGCAGCCGAGCACGTGACAGTGACATATATTTTTGCGTATGTGACATAGATTCTGTGGAAGCTGGCTTTATTCAGAACATTCCGAGCACAGGTGCATCGCCGTGCTCAAGATGACGCATTCAATCCGAATTGATAATTATTAATAACGTGGTGAATGGGTGAGTACTACAGTTTACATATAGTTTGCAAATTAGTTAGCGACAAAGAATCTAGTCAATGCTAAAAAGTTTATGAAAACACTTAATGGGTGAAGGTTGGCCGTTCGTCATAAAAAAGCGCTAACAGAAACTGCAGTCCAAAATTGTACGCTTTCATAGATTTGAACTAATTCCACTCATTATGTACCTAATTTAAGCTAATCTTGAGCCAAGATCAGCTCGTTAAATATTATCGATCATAAATCGCTCGATTCAAAATCCGCAACCTCAACTTCCATAGGTATACTGTTTTCGCTACATCAATCCATCAAAGCCCACCACCGAGATCGCACCGGAGGGAATGCAGACAGCACGCTCCAACTTACATACTCATTAGATTCATCATTCTGGAACATGTGTGACTATGTATACGGTTTCACTTAGACGTCACCGGCGCATAAATCTTTCCACACATCGCGTCGCGTCTGGGCGCCAGCTAGAGTGGAAAAGTATACGCTTTTCATCGCCACCGTTCGTTCGTTCCTGTTCATGCACGGTTAGCCGTTTGCGTACTATGAATTTGACTGGCAGCAAAAGGAGCATCATTTTTCAGTAACTCAAACATGAGGCATGCCGAACGTTCGGATGTCTATTATACTTTGACTAATGTTGTGCTTGTGAAGTGGGTACAGCAGATATAGTACTTTAGGCTCCGCTGGGAGTTGGATGAGTCGTACTCGAGGTGATGTGTTAACTTTAGTAGTCAGAAAGACACCCAAAGTTCATAAATTTTTTGATAGTATTTGTTATAACCATTGGCGTTGACGGCAACTCTGTAGCTCTTTACTCCAATGTTAAAATCCATAAGCAAACATCAGACTGTGCGTGAAACATGGCGGACTTCGTACTATTCTTTCACTCCACGGAAAATTCCCATAAGAAACTTTCAATCTTTGATAGAAGAGACAATTTTTCGGTGGTGCCGTCAACGCCAATAGGGTAATATACTATTCAAAAATGTATGAATTTGGGGTCTCTTTCTGACTATTAACGTATGTAATCACTGTATAACTTTATGTTTGCAGTGTATCTTCGTGTATTGTACCGTATGACTCAGCAATCATCTAGGTATCTAGCACATCAGTACCTACCATTATGCTTGTCACGCAATGTAAATATGAATGTAAAAATGGTTGAGGTTCACAGAGCTTTCAATGCACAAGTCTGTTTAGGTTTTAATTTTGAGTGATTTGAATTTAGGAGAACCATGAAAAATTAACATTACTTTCCTTGAAATTAATTTCTAAATTAATTTTCTTGAATCAAGAAAGTTATACATATGTGTTAGCGACAGAGGCTTTATATTTAAAAACCTACAGCCAAATAAGCATAAGATTAATTATCTTTACAATGTACTTATGATAAGTTATATAAGATTTGAACAGTTTTTTTTAAATTATAAAATGGGGTTTTTTCAGCGTGTATTTTTCTCACATATATTCCTATATGTTATATGTTGTACGTCATTTCGATTGCTTGAGTCGTTTTCGTGCTAAGATTTATTGAAAAATATCAAATATGTTTATAATTTTTTTTTTTCGAAAATTAGGCGAGAGTCACCAACTTGATTCATTGCCCCTAGTGAACAATTATGCGACGTGTCGTGGAATTTGAAGAGGGGAACAAAATAAATAATAAAAGTTCATTCATTCATCCCGCGAGTTTCTCTGCTTACCCCATGAATATGCAATGACTTGTTATTAGTCCAATCAAAGTGTTCTGTTGCTTCATTCGTGAAGTTTACGATTTTCAGAGTCCGTCCGTCCGTGTGACAATTGAACAGAAGTTGAAATTGAGAGAATGGCCATTAATGTGATAATACTAACGAAGACAACAAATCAAGAAGACTGGCAACTTTGCCAGAATCCAAGGGAAGATCCATTAATTATGTCACGCAAATTTGGCCCATTTTCAACCCCCCTCCCCCCTTGTCACATTTTTTGTATGGCTCGTCACAGTTTCCAAACCACCCCCCCCCCATCCACCCTAAAAGTGTGACATAATTAATGGACGATCCCCAAGCGACAGATACAGTAGTGCCATAGAGGTAACTCTAAGACCAGAAGGTCCCGAAGTTTCGTGTTCAACTTTTTGGCTCAGCTCTGGTACTATCTTCGGTCCCAAGCTAATCGATGCACCCCTCGAAACATAAAAAAATCCATGAACCCCTCATTGCATCTATCAAACTTTCATAGCAAATCAAAACAAACATAGTGTAGTACTAGAATTTTGACCAGAATGAGATACGTTAATCGTTTGCTTGGGACTAATAGCATAGAGGTAACTCTAAGACCACTGGGTCCCGAAGAAAATCATTATTATTTTTGGCTCACTCAGTACCAGAACAACGGTCCCAAGCAGTCCCAAGCTATTTCACTCACCCCTGCATGTTCTGCATGAATCCACACACCCCTGATGTTATCTGTCAAACTTTCATAGCGAATCAAAACAAACATAGTGTAGTAATAGAATTTCAACTAGAATAGGTTACGTTAATCGTTTGCTTGGGACCAATAGGCTACTAAAGTGGTGAGCCAATTTAAAATCGTTAGTTTCGTATTGATTGTTGCTAATAGGCTAGTCAAGTAGTGAGCCAATTTAAAATCGTTAGTTTCGAATTGATGGTTGGTAGTGCTGCACTTGAGTGAAGGTGGAAGCAACGCATAGAAAAATGAGCAAACACACAAACCCTTCTTCTGAGGATGTAGTCTTTGCTATCAAATTCGTTCGAAGCATTTACCTTTGAGCGGCAGATGACGCGATTGTACCTGTCTCATAGCGTTTGTATGAGAAAATGGAAAAGTTGCCAGTCTTCTTGATTTGTTGTCTTCGACACTAATCAAATGCACACTCCTTTACCTAACTTAGTAAGGTTAGTAACCTAAAGTGAGAGAATTTGAGGTATTTCCTTAAATCCTCTCACCCATCAAAGTGTGTTGGGGCTTCCCTTAGCACAGTTGGTAAAGGCGCAGCTACAAAGCAAGACCATGCTGGAGGTGGCTGGGTTCGATTCGCGGTCCGGTCTAGGAATTTATCGGGTTGGAATATTTCTCGACTTCCCTGGACATAGAGTAGATTGTACTTGCCACACAATTATGCTAATGCAAAAATGGCACAGGCTCGAAAGTTCTCAATTAATAACTGTGGAAGTGTATCTAGAACACTAAGTTACCAACTCTTAAAAAAATTATTAGTGTATTGTGGGTTATCCCTCAAAAATCACACAGAAATCCCAGTAAGTGACCCGGTTACCTAAAATACTCCCACATCGACATCATTTCCTTATTAAAGAGTTTGCGGCACGTGGTCCGCATAAAAACTCTTTTCGTGGGCCGCATAAAAACTCATTCGTCGGGTCGTTGGATGGGAACCACTGTTTTGTCGAACAATTTTACAAGATCCCAGAATTGAGAATAAATATAAAAATTGAGGGCATTGACCAATTTCCAAGGTTTATGAATTGGAAGAAAATGCTCAAGACTCTGGCACTTTGTGGAATTGTCGATGGAAACACCTAAAGAATTATGGAGCGAACCTAAACATAATTCTAGGGATAATTCCTTCAGAATTCTAAGGTTACTCGAAATGATTTCTGACTTGAATTTCATTTTAGTTTTAAGGACGCTTCAAAGGTAGTTGTGAGGATTGCTCAGAAGTTACATCTAAGTAGGTCATGTTCCGGAATAAACTTATTGGGAGTTCTGAGAAGCAATTCAAGCTAATTTTGATAGGAGTTATGAGGTTTTTTCAAACGTAATTTGAGGAGAGTTCCAAGTTAGTGCTGAGTATTCCATAAAAACCTTGAAGAGAACTCAGAGGAAATCCTGAAGAGATTTCAAAGGATTTCTTTTTTTGTTTTCCTTGATTTGTTTTCCGTCGATCCTGCTTTCCGTTGTGAGTACCAATGCTGCCAACGCCAGGGAGGCAGTTCTCACACCTGGACCTTACCTATTGACCTATCAACTGGACCGGGGACCAACGGCTTTACTTCTCTGAGATCAGAGATATTATGCCTCAGAAAATCTCGACGGCACCGACTGGGATTGATCCCAGACCCTTTGGGGTGAGAGACAATCACGCTTACCACTACACCACCGGCGCCACTAAAGGATTACTTAAGCAATAAGAAATTCTATTAATAGCTCCAAGGAAATTCCAACGGCAAATCTAGAGGAATTCCTGGAACATTCCATGGGAATTCTTATGACAAATGCAATAGGTCGTAACTTAACTTAAATTTAGTTCTAAGAAGAATCCCAAGGTGGTTCAAAGTTCTCCCACATCGACATCATTTCCTTATTAAAGAGTTTGCGGCACGTGGTCCGCATAAAAACTCTTTTCGTGGGCCGCATAAAAACTCATTCGTCGGGTCATTGGATGGGAACCACTGTTTTGTCGAACAATTTTACAAGATCCCAGAATTGAGAATAAATATAAAAATTGAGGGCATTGACCAATTTCCAAGGTTTATGAATTGGAAGAAAATGCTCAAGACTCTGGCACTTCGTGGAATTGTTGAGAATTTCGATGGAAACACCTAAAGAATTATGGAGCGAACCTAAACATAATTCTAGGGATAATTTCTTCAGAATTCTAAGGTTACTCGCAATGAATTCTGACTTGAATTTCATTTTAGTTTTGAGGACGCTTCAAAGGTAGTTGTGAGGATTGCTCAGAAGTTACATCTAAGTAGGTCATGTTCCGGAATAAACTTATTGC